TTTTTGCATATTGTCTCCCCCCCATTAGATTGTGAGCTTTTTTTTAAGGTAGGAACTGTCTTTTGTCTTTTTTTTTGTACCTCCAGCTTAGCACAGTGTCTGAAATATAGTAAGAGCTTAAAAAGGTTTATTGACTGATTGACGGATGCTTAATATTCAAATTCTGGTTTAAGGAAAGGTGAATGTCATGATTTCCATGATATTTGACTGTTATATTGTTGTTCATTCTTATGAGACGTCATGATGTCTTGATTTAGTAAGCTGGATTTGAGTGAGGCAGAGCTGGGCAAAGTATGAGTTTCACCCTATCCTCCAGAATAATCTAAGTCCCTTGGCAAGACAAAGGTCAAAAAGACTGCCTATGGGCTAGGATGAAGTGGGTGACCTTGGTCTTTGGAAATTAAGGTCGTAGTCTGAGGCCACATCCATTCAATGACTAAGGGCTGGGTAAGAATTGAGACCAAAGATGGCCCAATTTGCCATCCCAAAGATATCAATAAGAGAGCAGAAGACCCCCAGAGTTTGTGGCCAGAATAGAAAACAATTGTTATTTACACTAAGCCATCAAAACCTAAACAATGAGCCCCAGAGTTTGGCTGGCCTATTATTAGCCATTCAATGCTACTCATATAGCTCCATTTAAATACAATGGGCTTTTAAAAAGCCTCTTTAGCTGTATATATAAAAGCTGTAAGATGATGTAGTGCTAACATTTAAATAGGGAAGTAAAGAAACAAGTCAAGTGTCCCTTTAGAATCTTAATGTCTTCAAAGGGTATTAAGAGATTAAATAAGAAAAACATGTCCTGGGGTTCAGAGAGTTTGTAGAGAGAACTAGAAGGGAAAGCAAAAGGAAGAATAAAGTGTTTAGCAGAGAGTTAGCAATATGTAAATTCTAGTTATTATTATTACAAAATCCTCAGCTTATTTAAGGCCTTTCACAATATAGTTCCCACCCACCTTTCTAGTCTTGTTTCATATCATGCCCTTTAATTCACACTCCTTTTAAGTCTTACTGGTATGCTAAAACTTCCCCATGCAGAATACATCTCCTGCCTCTTTGCTTTTGGATGAGTGGTCCCTCTAGTCTGGAAGGTAAACCTTTCAAAAACCAGTTCAGGTAGCATCTCCTAGCAGAGGCCTTTTCTGACTCCCTCGGTTATTAGCACTCTCTCTCTCCCTTACTTCTACTACTCAGTTCTAATGTATTTGCATATATGTTTGATCTCCCCTGTAGAATGTAAGCTTCCTGAGGTCAGGGATGGTTTCACAGTGGTCTTTGCATCCTCAGTGCCTAGTATTGTATAAGTTAAAAAAATTTTTTTAGTCTATCCTTATTACATAATTGATGTTAAGACCTCCCAGGGAGAAAATTCTCTTTACCAATCAAATGAGATATTTGTAAAGCATTTAGCACAGTTTCTGGCATATAGTAGGTGCTATATAAATGCTTATTTACCATTGATTTATTCAGTCTCCAATATAGATCGATAACCTGTAGTCTGAGGGATTAAGTCACTTACTCAACATCACAATCAGCAGATATTAGAGAGGGAACTTCAATTCTGGTCTTCTCTGCTTTAAGGCCAGCTGTCCATTATGTTATACTTCCTCTCTATCTTGCACATAGTAAGCGCTTAATAAATGTTTGTTGAATTTTGCCAGGAATAAAAATGAGGAACTTCCACTTAAATTCCTATGTAGACTATAAGTAGAAAACTGAAATGGTGACCTAATATTTTATTCTAATGATTTGCTTTGGTGGAATATAGCCTTTGGACACAATTAGGAAGCCACGGAAAAATATAGCCTTAGGTCACAACTATGGAGCCCTGGAAAAATCAGGTAGAGTTTTAGGAGCCATGATGTCATTATTGTGGGTACTGTCTCTTCTCTTACCGATTGCCACCTATATGGTGGCATAGATTTTCAAAATCCTAAGTGGCCAGGAGCATTAGAGGAAGAGGACTTCAGGGAAGGAGTCACTTTAGGTAACTGTGATTGGTTTGATTCATGGGATCTTAGATTCATGGGATCTCAGAGGCTCTCTGGTCTAACACCCTCTTTTCAAAAATGAGTAACTGGAGAGAGGTTAATGACTTGCCCAGGGTCACAAAGGAAGTCAGTTGCAAAGGCCTGTCCCTCCAGACAGTTAGTGCTGGAGTTTGGTTTTTTTGTGTGTTTTTTTTTTTACTACACTGTGTGGTGGAACAGCTTTTGGGATAGCATCAGGGCCTGGAAGGACTTTTGTCACATTGCTCATGCAGCACTAATACTATCACCTACCCAGATAGATGACGAAGTGAACAGAGTGCCAGGCCTGGAGTCAGGTGACCCTGGGCAAATCTCTTAAACCCTGTTTGCCTCAGTTCCCTCATCTGAAAAATGACCTGTAGAAGTAAATGGCAAACCACTCCACTATCTTTGCCAAAAAAACTTCAAACAAGGTCAGGAAAAGTCAGACATGACTTACCAACAACTGCCCAGTTAGCTAGTCTTTTGCTTCTGGCCCAATTTATTTATATTTTCATTTTGTTTGCTTTTGTCCCAAAACTCAGATCAGTTTAGGGAGTTCCCAGTGTGAAAACTCGCACTTGTAATTCTTCTGCAACCTATAGTTTTAGAGTGTCACCTGAGATACGGTGATTTACCTCTTAGTGCATGTCAGACCCAAAACTTGAACTCAGCTCTCCTGATACCAAGGACACTAAGCCAGGCTGCCTCTTTTGATTAGTTAACAGCAATAAATCACATGGATATTGTGCCTTAAGGTTTGCAAAGCCTCTTCCTCACCCCATTGCATAGAACTAGGCCTAGACATTATCTTCACCATCTTTTGCAATCTCAGATACTCATGTTAAGACACAGCCCCATTTCCGGTTAGCTCCTAATCTCATGGTCCTGATCTTTATCAACATTTAATTAAACTTTATGTATTTGTCCCAAATGTGGATTGTGGCTGTGTTTGAGACTGTGTTTGTGATTTGAAGTGGAGGAGGAAGAGTTAAATATTTCCCTCAAAGCATAAATCATCTCCTACCAGGAAGTTTCCCCAGCTCAACCCAGACCTCCTCCCCTATCAAATTAACTAGTAATTATTTGTCTACTAAATGTTGTATAATCCAAATAGAATGTTAGCTTCTTAAAGCCAGGGACTGTTTCTCATTTTGTCCTTATATACCCCAGTGCCATGCAGAGGGCCTTAATAAATGTGGATTGTTGAATGAAATTAAAAAAGAACGGGGAGAAAGCAAGGGTGCTAAATGAGGCGCTGAATCTTCCCGTGCAGTCACCCACCTCACTTAGGTAGCACATATGGCTTCTGTTTATCATCTAGGATTTTAGGGAAGCTGGCCACATTTTCAAAAACGCATAAAGTCACCCAGAAGCGACCCCTTCGCTTCTAAAAGTCATCCAAGGAGATAAATGTGTAGCACTTGCAAATGAGAGAGCCAAGGTGCAGGGAGTGCAAAGAGAATTCGATTTAGAGTTGGAGACATAGGTTTGAATCCTGGGCTCTGTAAATTATTAAGGGTTTCAATACTTTGGGCTCACAAGCAAACTCTGCTTTTGTCCTTTTCGAGGTCCCGCCCCTGCCTCGAAATATGTGTGAGAGACAGCGAGAGGCGCTGAGATGGATAAAAAAGACCAAGAACCTGCCTAAAGAGATTTCTTTTCTAGAGTTCTTGGGAAGCCCCAGGGCAATACTGCAAACTGGGGCTAGCACAGTGTGGTCTCCAGAGTGCCTGAGGCCAACCTAGTTTAGGGCTGCACATTCCTTAAGGTATTTAAAATAAAAGGCACCACCGTGACAGAGCACATTTTCTGCTTTTTTCAACCTAGCTCTCTACCGGGGGTCTTTACAAGTGCATGCATATCGGGGGGGGGGGTTTGGGGGGGTAAGGGGGCGGAGGAGAAGAGAAGGGGGAGAGAATATTTTCTTATAAATTCAAAACTCAGCATCACTTGATATACCCCCCCACTCTCACCCCACCCCCCAAGTCCAATCGCTACGACCCAAGCAACACTTTGAGAGCGCAACAGGTCCCCCGGTTTCTTGGATGTCTCAATGGAGGTTGGCTGCAAAGCTATGTGGCCTCCTTCCCCGTCTAGTTGGGGGTAGAGGGGAAGGGCGAAGGAGTGAGGGCGGACTTAGGCCAAGCAGCTGTCCCATGTTAAGTGCGAACCCCCTAAAGTAGAAAAGCCCCCTCCCTCTCTCCATCTGGAGTCTGGGCAGGGTTCGGTGCACCCTGCACAGGCTGGCACGCGGTCGGAGGCAGGGGGCGGCGTGGGAGTGCAGGGAGAGGAGAGGAGGGGAGGGGTCTCCGGAACCCCGGCTGGTGGTCCCCTGAAATAGGAGGCCGGGTTCCGTGACTCATAAATCATTCATGAGCCGGGGCTTCGAGGGTTGCTGAGCACGGAGCGAGTAAGGGAGGCTGGTTTGTGTGCGAGCAGAGAGAGGCTCTACGTTATCTGGGAAGAGGAAAAAAGAGGAGAAGGCTGCAGCAGTAGCAGCAGCTGCTGCTGGAGGGCAGCGGGAGCCCACAACGTTGCCTTGTCCCTGGCCGCAGCTGCAGCCCTCGAACTAGGCGTTAAGGGGAGTAGGAGGGAGAGAGGAGAAGCAGCTGCAAGCAGCTGCTGGGTGGTGAGTACCCTCCCCTTTGGGTCCTCTTTCCAGTAGCCGGGAAAATACCTATGGGAAGGAAGAGGGAAAGGAAGAGGGGAAAGAAGAGGGAATTAGGGGAGACTGCGTGCACTTGGAAGCCAAGGGAAGTGATGGTCCAGGGGAAGTGGGGAGCGAATGGGGTAGTGCCTCCCCCCCAACCCTGCATCCAGTGTTAGGGGTGTATGGCAGGAGCTCCAGTGGGGAGAGTGGTGCTGCGGGCAAAAAGAGGCATTCAATCTCGGGAGGTGGAGGCAAGACGAGCTCGGGTATAGATTCAGGGCTGGGACGAGGACACTGGGAATTGAGGTTAGAAGAAGGGGCGCGAACAGGGAGCAAACTTTTGACTTTTGCTGTAATTTTCCAGCGGCACAGATTAGGGGTTTTCGCTTTACATTGGGGCGGGTTTTAGGGGAAGAGAGTGAGGGGAAAGCAGTCTGTGTTGGGGCTAAGTTGGAGAATGCCCCCTACCCTCATGTTGTGACTTTATCTGAGATCCTTAGGAACCTTGTGCTCGCCTTCTGCGAAGCTGAGAGTTGTAGGGAGGGCATGATGGAAGACGGGCTTAAGGAATCGGGCTTCATTACTAAGGCAGAAGATGAGGATCTCCTTCAGGACTAGGATTTCCCAAGGAATCTACATTGATCTTCCCTCCCTCTTTGCTCCCCCCGCCGGGAAAGTATGGAGATGAAGCGTTACCTAGTTTGCGGGGATGGAGAGGCAGAAATAACCAGCAGAGGGGTCACAGGAGTTCTCTTGTCCCTCCCACCCCATCGTCGCCCCCACCTCTATGCTCCTGTGTGATTTCAGCCGAAGGCATCTTCCTGCTTATCTTCAGGAGACCGCGCAGAGCCCTCTTAAATTGGGACCTTGCCCCGAGTCTGCGGGGAGGAGAAAAGGGGAAACAGAAAGCTGGAGGCTTTCGATGATTATTCGGTGGTGGCGGAAGCGCCGGCTTTGCCCACGGGTAGGGGGTGGAGATGGGTTGAGGGAAGGGCTGAAGGGCGAGCGGATTGGGGCACGGACCCGCGGCCAGCCCGGGCTCAGTCCCTAGACACTGGCCCCGGACAACAAAGGAGAGAAAATGGAGAGAGGAGGAGCTTGGTTCCTGCCTGGGAGTTTAGGCGCCTTTGACCACCCCCTCCTGAAACCCTTCGAGTCCGGACTAGGCTCAGTCCTGTCCCGCTCCTGGGCAACCAGACTGTGCAGAGGGTAGAGTCCTGGGTATGGGGGGTCTGGCTGTTGTTATCCCTCCCCAGCCTGAAGAGGCTGCTGCGAGGTTACGCTCGATACCATGCAAGTTAACAGTCAAGTTACTCCGGGTAACATCCACGCGCCCCTTCCCCAACGCCCCCCTTCTCTTCAGCTGGCAAATTCCTAGAGTCCGGCCCCCTCTCCCTCCACTCTTTCCCTCGGCTTCTTTTGAAAGCCCTTTTGTATTACATTGCTTTCGTGCACGGGAGCCGTGGAGGGGGGTTGGAAGGGGTAGGACGGGGCGGCCAGTGTTGAGCTGGTGGACTTTGCTACCGGCCTAGATAATACTTAAAAAGAGAAAGGGGATGGGGAGAAAGCCCTCTTTCTCTGCTTGTGACAATCGGTTGCTATAGGGAGAGATTTGGGGTCTGACTCACAGACAACATGTAGCTTTTCCATTGTGACCATTCCAACTGGTTGAACGTTTAAGGGAGTCCTATTAAGGGTCAGATAATTGATTTTTTTTAAAAGGCAATAAAGTGTCGAATAGGGACTACTGGGATTCTTCTGTTCTCTCCCTCCCATTTCCCACCTCCCAATCTTCTCATTGGAGTCTAAGTAAAAATCCCTTGGGGATCTGCATACATAGAAGAGAGAGGTCTGTCTATAGTGGAAAGCAGTACACTGGATTTAGAGGAGACCAGGGCCTGGGGATTTTAGGATTTATAGCTGGAGGGGACCTTAGAGATAATCCATCCTATCCCCCCTCATTTTACAGATGAGAAACTGAAACCCAGCAAATGTATAAGACTTGCTACAGGTGACAGAAGTATTAACTATCTCAGCCAGGTTAGGAACTGAGACCCTCAGATTTTAAATCCACCTTTATTTAGGTGCAAAGAGCCGTGAATTTAGAAGTCTTAATTTCAGATGCCCAGATGAATTTAATTTATTCTTTTAGAGGCAGGTTTTTTTTTTAATGGAGGATCTCTCCCACCCTATGTGTGATAATCATATCTCTAGAGTTAGTTCTAGCCTAGACTTTGGAACAATCCAGCCAAATCACTCCTGGACAAATTAATGTAAGCTCCCTAGGACTTAGTTTCTTTATCTATAAAATGAGGGGGCTGAATTAGCTGATTTCCCTTCTAATTTCCAAATTCTCTACTCATCCTCCAAAATCCCTTCCAGAGTTTCTCCTCTGCTTATCCCCCGAAAACCCATCGTGGAGAGAAAACCAAAATTAGTCCAAGTAGCAAAGACAGAGATTGTTTGAAAGCAGTAAGTTTTATTTGAAAGACCCTTATGTGGAAGAGAGAGCAGAATGGTTCTGTTGGGCCCCACAGGGCAGATCCATGAGTGATGGGTAAAAGTCCCAAAAAGGTGGATTTAGCTTTGATGTCAAGAAAAAACCTTGGGAACAATTAAAGCTGTCCAAAAGAGGAATGGCATGCCTCCTGAGGCACCAATTTCTCCTTCACTGGAGAGGCTCTCAAGCCGAGGCTATATTACCACTTGTCAGGTGTGTTATAGTGAGAAATGCCTTTTGGGTAAGTTAGACTAGGTGGTGGCTGGAGCGCCTTTGAACTGAAATGATGTGTCAGTCCTGTGAGATTTTATTGTACTTATACCTGTTCCCTCTGTTCATACCTCTTCCTCTTTCCTCCCAACCTAGAAATTCAGAACCCTAAGCAAGATTATCATTCCAATAAAGCACTTCTTCTCTATAGATATCCTGCCCCAAGGCATGATAATATGGGATAGTCACTGAGGGAGCTGTTGGAGAAGCGGAGAGCAGTTGCAAAAATATCTGCTCTAAAGCTGTCATTAAAACCTTAGTACTGCTTTAAATCTAGTGTAGACCATAATATGAAAGCTTAGCTGTGCACAGAACACTATTGTGGGGTACCCAAAAGAATTAACATGCCCGCCCTGACTGAAGTTCTTAATCTGATTTGGAAGATGAAATAAGACATACGAACATGAATGTGGAATAGGCTAGCCACTGGCAGAATGGTGAAGCAGCCTTCCTCTCTTTTCCCTTCTGCTTGTGTCTTTTCAGATATTCAGATCCTCAGATGCCCCCTCTCCTGAGGGGCAGTGAGTACTGGACTTGACTTGGATAACCAGGATTCAGGTCTATGCTCTAGACCTTAACTTGGTAGCCTTGGGCTAGTGACTTTACTTAAGCCTCAATTTTCTCATTTGTAAAATGGAGTTTCAAATTAGATGGCTCCTATAGTCCCTTCCAGCTCTAAGTCAATGATTTTTAAAATTCCTCCACTGTAGTACTGCATCTCTAAATCTGTTTACCCTAGGAGCCACTGTTGTCATCTTTTCCTCTGCTTTTACACACAGGAGTCAAAGGCCTGTAACCTTTATGCTACTGAAATCAGGTTCCACCGGCTGAGTTTAGAATCTTGTGCCTATAATTTAGAAAGAATTACCATCATTGGATGGTGGTGGTATCTTTTAGCTTATGATGTAGCCAATGTGCTTGAACAATTCTCTCTCCAGTAGCACTGTGGTACAGGAAACAAATTTAAAAAGACTAATGCTAAAGTAAGTCTGGAAAACTGGTTGGAGTTATTTATTTGGTACCTACTAAATACAGGATGCTGTATTTAGTACAGAAAGGTCAAGTTTTGTGGCAAAACCAAATCCTTTCTGAATTTTTAGTGGCTCCCAAGGGAGTGCTATAAGGTAGGATGACTTTTTTGAGGGATGTTCATTCTCCAGGTGGTGCTACAAAGTGGGATGACTTTTGGGGGTGGGTTGTAGTGCTGTAAGATGGGTACCTGTGGAAGGGGGAGGCTCATAGAAGAGGGGAGGAAAAGTCATTTGTATTTTCTGTTGGGTTAAACATAACTTCACCTATATTCAATGTTTTATTAACCTGGGTGTTTGCATAGGAGGTGAAGGCCCTCTTCTCATTGGAAGACTCAGAACACAAACCAAATTCTGATATTCCCCAGGGAAGTCTCTGAGTGGGAGCACACACTATAGCATTATATAATAAGCCCCCAAGACTGAGGTCTTTGTGAACATAAGCTTTATTTTATTTTTTTTTTCATGAGGCAATTGGGGTTAAGTGACTTGCTTAGGGTCACACAGCTAGCATCGAGTATTTAAGGCTGCATTTGAACTTCGCCACCTAGCTGCCCCCAAAATAAGCTTTAGTAGTGAATCACAGTATATAATCCCGTGACAGTTATAATCTTGTGACTGTAGCCTGGTTCTTTTTACTTCCTTAAACTGAACAGGTTGCAGGTGGCCTTGTATCAGGTTTCTGTTGTCCTTCCATATCATGGATTTTCTAATTGGGCAGGTTATGATTTGGATGGTTTATTGTCCTAAATCTCATTTTATTTTCTGCCAGTTACTGAAAATGAAGTAACCTTTATCTACCAACAAAGCATATAGTATTTTATTCCACCCTGGGCCGATCCCACATTTATTAATCATCTACCATGTGCTAGGCATGAAGGAGACAAAGATGGAGAGGAAATGGCTCCTATTTTCAAAGAGTTTACCTCCTGTTGTGAGGAGGACTAGTACACAGAAAGAAAATACAAATATATACAAAGTACTTTTGTGGGATATTTGCTGCTATTGGGAGTATCAGGATCAGCCCTGTGAAAGGGATGAACCTTGAAGGACAGTAGGGATTCTGCTAAACAGAAGTGAATTGGGTGTATGGTCCAGATATGGGGAATGGCTGGGGAAAGGATTGAGGAAAGAGACGGAATGTTAGGTGCCAGGATTAGCAAGGAAGCCAGTTTGACTGGAAAAGTGACAGTTTGACAGAAAGTGAGGCACAGTTTTAGCCTAGGGTCAGATTGTGAAGGGCTCTAAATGCCAAATAGAAGAATTTCTGTAGGCAACAGTGAGAGCCTCTAGGCTGTCTTGAGCAGGGAAGTGACATGGCTAGCTTTGGGTTTTCAGAATATTCCTTTGGCAGCTTTGTGGAGGGGAGAGACTGGAGAAGGGGGACCAATTAGGAAGCTATTGTAATAAGCCTACGAGAATGGTGATTAGGCATTGAACTTTGGTTATTGTGTTACAAGAGGTAAGACTGAAGGTAGTATCTACAAGACTTGGCAGTGGAGAGAGGGAAGAGTTGAGAATGATTTCTGGCTTGCAAACCTGGGTGACAGAAAGTATGACGGTGCCCTCAAAAGAAAGAGTGGAGTTAGGCATAGCGGGAGGGTTTGGGGGAAAAGATAAAGAATTCTTTGATGTACAGTGATATACAGTGATGTACAATGGTAAGCCCTGGCTCAGGCCTCAGGGCCTGGGTTCTGATGCTTATACCCGGCGATTCTGCGAAAGTCAATTACCCTCTGTAGGGCCCCAGTTTCCTTGTCTGTAAAATGAAGCTTCTGGAACCCCTTTCAGTTTTAGAGCAGTGCTTCTTGGTTGAATCACGCAACTGGGACATCCACCTGGAGATAGCTAGGCAGTTGACGATGAGGGACTGGAGTTTGGGGGAGAAACTAGGGGTGTGTGTAGAGGTCTAGTAAGAGTTACCTGCATAGAGATAATACTTGAACCCATAGAAACAACTGAGAAAGAGGTGAAGTGGG